ACAATCTCCAAGAAGGAAGAGGGCACTGAATTCTCTAGAGCTGGAGTTACATGTGTATGAGCTGCCATGTGGGTGTTTAGACCCTAACACCCCCTCTCAGGATGAGCAGTACGCACTCCTACCTAATGAGCCAGCTGGGAAATGGGTGTCTTTGTGGTGTTGGCCATGATGGTTACTTACAATGCTTAAATTTGAGGACTAAAATGCTTGGGTTTTCTTAACATAGGGAAGTTGAGGATCACACCAGGCTCTTCCTCATCCACACCTCTTCTGAACCAACCTAAGCTGACTTGGGAGAAGAAGTGTCTTAAAGGATTTCATTGAGAAGCACACTTGGGGGTTACATGTCTTCCCTCTGACTGATGCTTTCTATTTAAAAAGCCATCAGTTTTGAAAATGTGTTTTGTGTTAAACGGTGTCACGAGGCTTTTCTCCAGTCTTCTAGAACCATCATCTAATGGTTCTGTGTCATCTTCTCTTGCACATTCATGAACCAAGCAGATCAGTTGTGGAAGCAAGCCCAAATAGGTAGCCTTTTTTTTTTTTTTACACATTCCCATATGATCAAGACTAAATTTTAAGAAAGAAAGGTAGGTGTAGTCCTCAGTCTATAAGGTGAGCGCGACTTAAGAACATTCATTCTAGGTATTTAAAGAAATGAAAAATCCAATGGCAGGAATAAGCACATCAACATTAACTCCCAGGGATGATTTTACAGTTCATTTTAACTCTGACTGTACTTTCAAAACCAGGTACATGACACTGGCTAAGTCATCTCATTCTCCCTTTTCATTTTTGGGCAAGAACTACAGCCCACATTCCTCTAAGCTCTGGAGTTGTGTTATTAGCATAACACAAGGCCAACACCTAGCTCCTCCCCAGTCCTCCTCAGCCTCAGGACACTGAGCAGGGTGAGAGGAGAAGGGGACAGAATGAATCAGCAGATCAGTGGGAAAGATCCAATGTCAACTACCAAGGTAACCAGCCAGCCACTGCATCATGCCCCCACACACACAGAAACAGAAATAAAAAAAATTAAGATTTACGGGAGTATCTGGAAGGTGGAGTGCTGCCTCTTGCATTATGGGTCAGGACATTGGACAGCAAGAGGGAAAGTTCTACAAAGCAGACGGCTGGCCTCTCCCCAGAGGAGCCCTGCCTTAGCTCAGCAGCTCACTGGAGTCATAAGGTCCCCAAGAGCAAAGGTTGACTGTGTTGACTCTGTTGAGTTACACATGGCAATCCCTTCACAAGAAGCTCGAAAGACAAATAGTTTCTGTTTTCCGAAGATTTTTAAAAAGGGCACATGTTTCCTGCCTTGTCTTCTCTACATCTGTCCAAAAATGATTCCTGAGTGTGAGGACCAGGCACACATGCCTGCAGCTCTAGAACACAGCTCTGTGGTCTCACAAACACCAACACAGACCAAGGAGGCAGACAAGTCCTCAAAGTGCACTGTTCTTCTCTTCTCCCTCTTTTTGTCTTTTTTTAAAACTCTGTGTGCATGAGTGTGTGTATGAGTGTGTGCATGAGTGTGTGTCTGCATGTCTGTGTATCACATGAGTGCAATGGCCGAAGGAGCCAGAAGAGGACGATGGTCCCTGTGGAACTGGAGTTACCACCATGCAGATGTTCAACCACTCAGTCATCTCTCTAGCCATCATTAATCATTTCAATCAAAGCAAACATGTGTTCTAGGAATTAGCAAGGTAGACTTCTATCTTTAAAAAAAAAAAAAAGTCCTTTACAAAATACAAATGGGATGAAAGTAATGCTTTTGCTGAGGGGCTCAATATAACAAAATACTAGTGGCAAGAAAAGCTGCTTTTTTCCCCATTATCGACTGTACAAAGCATCATTCCTTTTATGATATCTATTTTATTTATGTCTGTGTGAGTTCATGTGCACTCCTGTACACGTGTCCACAGAGGCCAGAAGAGGGCATCGGGGTCCTCTGAAGCCAGAGTTCTAGGCAGTTGTGAGCTACTGTGTGGGTGCTGGGGACATAACCCAGGCCCTCTGTAAGCACAGTAAGGACTCAGCTGCTGAGCCATCTCTCTAGCTCCAGAAGGATCATTCCTGTCACCCTGTCCTTCTATGACATGGGACCGTGACTCTGGACTCAGGGACCCCACTGGGACCCATGGGATGTTCCCACTGAATACCCTTCCTTGTGCAGGGGACCACAGCCACAGACTCACAGGATCTCTTCAGTTTAAGAACCTTGGCCTCTTCAGGTGAGTTTAAAGTACTTAAAAAGAAAAAAAAACAAAAAAACAAAAAACTTGTTTTCCAAAACCATAAAGTAAAATATTTGAGGTTTTACCCACTCCAAGTCAATCTTAGTGGTGGTCATAGAAACTATTATTTTAAGATTCCACTCATATTTTTCTTCACTTTCATAAATTTTATGATTATTTCATTTTTAAGGAGTGTCAGACCATGAAGGTCACAAGCCATGTGGACAGTCTGTGGGTTGTTTAAAATGCCCCATGCCATGTCCAGCTGGTGGCCTGAAGTGTAAGACCTATCACCTATCCCCTGTACAACCAACATGTTTCACAAGACTTTGTACTTATGTTTATGTCACTTGGGAAGACTAATGAATTGCAAGTGTCTTTTTGTTTTCATCCTGCTACCTCACTTTCCCCTGTAGACACACATTTCTCTGTTCTGTCTACACTGACTACATACAACTTCAAGGGAGGTAAGAAATTAGACATTTTAGGGCAGAACCCTGTCTGCTTACACGGTACCACAAATGTTCAAGACTCCTCATGTCATTTCGATAATTGTCCAAGTAAAAGAGGACCCTTTAGGTCTCTGCACCGTCCATCCCTCCCAGCCCCTCCACCTGGTACAGAGAAGTGGCCATGGTACAAGTCTCTGCACTGTCCCTCCCTCCAGCCCCTCCACCTGGTACAGAGAAGTGGCCA